AAGCTCTGTGGTAGTCCCCAGGGAACCCCAAACACTGGAATGCAGGCCTGGATACAGGGCCTGTTTTACCTGGTCCTGCTGGTCCCCTGGACATGCTGGTCCCCTGGTCTCATTTGTGGAAGAGAAGACATAGGTGCTTGGCTCCTGCCGAGATGGGAGGCTCTCTGGGAAACCCCAGGCACTGGATGGCAGTCCTGGATGTGGGGCCTTGTTGACCTGGACCTGCTGGTCTCCTGGTCTCCAAGCTGTTTTCTTAAACTATTAAGTCAGTGTTCAATGCCTACACAGCACTAATGAGGAAACAACAAACCTGATATATTTGGAGATCTCTAATCAAGTAGACCTCAAAATAGTGAGCGTGTTTCCCAGTTTCTTGGTTTTCCGTCCTGCTATTTATGTTTGGTGTTTCCAATGTATAGTTTCAATGTCAATGTTTGCTCTAGGGTCTATTCATGCCTGTCTTTTCCCTTTCTTCATTAATTATTATCAAATATTCAGTTTTATAAAGTAAGTCTCTGATTTTCCTTTGGATTATCTTTTCCTTAATTAAAACCCATTTAAGCATAAACCACACATTACCAATTACATAATACCATTTCCATACATGCCTGTACTGTACTTTTATCATATTCTCCTGCACTATTAAAGTCCTCCCAGCATATATTTGTGACTGATACTATGACATTGACAACAACTCAGCTCCCTGCTTCTTCATAACACAAAAAATGAAAAATACGTCTGATTTCTGGTTGTGGAACTGTTTTGAGTCATGTAAAACTATATCTAGCTCTACCTACATTTGTTATAACACAAGGGTTCACTAGTCACTGTGCTTAATGTAATCTCTTTCCCATAGCCTCCTTACATGCTCTGCAAATGTTTCATGTATTGACTTTTAAGTATCTTCCTGTCACAGGGTGAGGCCATTTTGATTTTTAATGAAAGGATATGTAGTATGTTGCTTAGATGATTGTGAAATATCAATTATTCTCATTAATGACTTTCTCATCAGTGTTTAGTGAGGAAAGTAGTTCATACATCATTTATGTGCTAATTTCTTGGGGGCTTGGGGTAATACTGGCACAGGTATATGGAGGCATTCCTTACCTTTCCTAGTCATGAAGTATTTTCTGTAACCTTGGTATTTGTCCTAGTTTCTAGAGCTGCAACAAAACACCCCTACCAACAAGAATGTTCATAAGGAAATGGTTTTTGTTTAGCTTACACTTCCAAGATCACTTTTACAATTAAAGTAATTCAAGACAGCAACTGGAGCAGAGCAGATTACTTAAGGCAGAAGCTGATGCAGAGGCCATGGAAGGGTGATACTTACTGGCTTAATGTCTGTTTCTGTATAGAACTCAGGACCAAAAGTCCAAGTAGAGAACCATTCGTATTGGACTTGATTGTCCTTCATTGCTTACCAGTTGAGAAAATGCCTAAGAACTGTATCTCATTGAGGCATTTCATCAACTGAGGTCCATTTTTCTCTGATGACTCCAGAAACTAGACTAGTGGTTTTTCCAGTCTTCCTTACTCATCACGTGGGGGGGCTGCAAGGACATCTGGGATTGTTCTATCCATTAAATGTGTGCTTTTATAAATTTAGTTTGATTTGATCTGATTTAAATTGCTGCATCTCTAGAGAGTCCTACTGACCTTTCAGTCCCTATCTTTCCTCTGTGTTTTTTAAATAATCCATGTTTCACTCCTTAACCAGTGGCCCCTGAGAACCTGGAAAATATAGAGTCACATCTGTTGGGAAAGACAAAGGAAGTCTTTATGTAGTTAAGTCTGTCTTAGATGATGATGTATGACACTTCTTTCTGAGTAAAACTTTCCCCAAATCTACTAGCTTTTAAGTAAGGTGAACTAATTTAACAAGCTTATTTTCAAACATTTTAATTCCAGCCAAAATGCAGTCACAGATCTATTTGATCTCAGCTGATGAATCACTGAACTTGGATGAATTGGTGCCAAGGAACATGCTGTGCCATGGGACTTGAGGATGTACAACCCCTGGATGACAATACTTGGCTTCCACAGTTATGCATTTGTAAGACACAAGGAACTCACTGTCTCTGATTGGGACCATTGTATTCTGTTTCTGCTCCTATTTTGGGTCAACATACCTAAGCCATACATATCATCTTCTCATACAAAAAGCAAAACAAGATAGTGTATCTTTTACTAAAAAAGGGAGGTACGATGCACATGTAACCTTTGAGATTTGTTGGTACTGCAGACACCTTTCCCTAATGGGGGATGGGCTTATCTTTCATTGGAACTGGGCTAACCATTAGTAAAAATGAAGCATGTGTGTAAGTACCTGTCCTTTCTTACCATACCAATATCACCTGATGTGGCCACTGGAGGGGCCACACCAAGCCAAGGCTGTGACAATTTTATTGAGAGCAATAAGACGTTTTATACTTTTATCAGAGGCAGAATTGCCAGAGTCCAGCTCCGGATGAGGGCAGGGTCTGAGGACTAGTGGATGTAATAGCACTGACAATGACTCAGACAAGGACACTTCTGAGTTTCCTTTCACTAGAGATGGACTGAGAGGAAGCTTATCCCTAGAGTAGATGCAGGTCCCAGCAGGGAATGAAAGAGTAGGTGGGAGCCAGTCCACGGTGACGGTGAGAATACTGCAGCCTGATTGACCTGCAGCCAGAGTGCTTCTTTCTTTATACAGAATTTAGTAAGCAGTGACACATTCATGTTGTTCTAAAACATAGATCACATGATTTTGGTTTTTGCTCATCTCTTAGTCATCATTAATAAACTATTATACAACTGAGTTATCACATCCAATAATTTTCCCTCAAATTTTGACACCATTAATAAACAGTTATCATTTTTGCACTTTAACTCCATAACCCAATTTTTAATCATCTAGAGGGCTATGACAGCCTGGTCTCAGGTTGGTAGCTCATGTGGCTACAAGGGAAAGGGCCCAAACCCTCACTCAGCCCCTACTTTGGCAGCTATGACAGGCTACAGAAAAGAAATCCAGCAAGATGTAGGCCCCTGACTCAGCTTCATGTCCTGACCCTCGACCTTGCCCTAATCACTAGGAAGCAACTTACAGATATGCTCCATGTGGTAAGGAACCAATCAGAGGGTAACTGGTGGGCTCTGAGTGTGACTTCCTGATAATAGTGGAATGCATGGCATAGCAACCTCTCTGGAAGGGACTCTATGTATAGCAAACTTCCTGCAGCTGCAACTGACCAATAAACTCATGGACAGGTTCTCACTACCTGGAGGTGCATCAGTCCTGAGACTGACGCTATGCGACTAGTGGACCCGTTTTCAGACACTCTGATTGTTCTACCCCAATATATGCTCTGCCCCACTGTTGTTCCAGGTTCCTTCTACTCTACCCACTTTACTGGATGGACAAATGACCCGAGATAAATAATACATTAAAAATAGTCTATGCTTTTGCATCAGATCTAGTTTCTTGGTTGTTTGGGGGCTTCAGAGTCTAGGCACAACTCAGGACACTAGACCAAAACAAACTTTTCAAGCCAGCCCTGGCATATTGCCATGTCTTAAGCACTGTGTTATTAACTCTTAAAGGTCAGAATGCCTGAGAAAAATCCTCATGCCAAAGTTGCTGTATTTATTTTTCAAATTCTGGATTAATACAATCTTTATATTTTATATCTCTATAAGATCTGTTTGTAAGTCTAAACCTAGAATTCTGTTGTTCCTTGGTGATGTGACACCATAATGGCTCTGCATGACCTAAGTTTTCTAAGACAGGAACGTCCTGATGTCTCATACTTTTATCATATCTCTACTTTATTTTTGATCATCAATACAAGATTCTGTGTAGGACAGAGGAACTTCTGTTGCTGTATATGTCACATAACTACCTGAATGTATGGTGGGAAGAGACTTGCAATCTTCTCTGTGGCCAATTGCTCTAGCTCACTGATCATTTTGTCTTTTTGACACAGGGTTTCTTTACATTGCTTTGCCGTTTGTCCTTAACCTCACTCTGTAGAACAAGATGGTCTCAGACTCACAGAGATCTGCCTTCCTCTGCCTCCTGAGTACTGGGATTAAATGTGGGAACCACCAACACCTGGCAGAATAGTTTCTAGACTGAACTATTTTTTTTAAAGACAGTATTTCTCTCTGTAAGTTCTGGAACTCAGTTTGTAGAGCAGGCTGGCCTTTAACTCACAGAGATATCCCTACCTCTGCCTCCCGAATACTCACTTTAAAGGCATATACCACCACTGACTGGCTAGCTCACTGAATCCTGTTGACATTTTAAAGTTTACTTTGTTTTTATTATCTTGTTCCTGAGGAAGTACAGGTACAAATGTTTCAAGATTCTCTCATAGCCTCATACAGACACCTGTGGCCTCTTTAAGTATGTCACAATCTCCAAGGCATAAAGGCCTTCAAGTAAATAAGGATATCTGCCTAAAAGTGTGAGGTTAGTATGTTCAGGACTGTCCTGGGACTGCTTAGAAGCAGCATTCCTGGGAGAAGACATAAATGATTCATAATAAATTCTCCATCAAACCAATATCCCCAAATGATATACTGTAAAAGTCACCCAAATATGCATCAGGTGGAGATGAATACACAGCAGCCATCAAGAGGCTCTGCTTTAGGGGAGGGAGAGGGAGCTAGGATTGTCTTGTGAAACAAACTTGTTTCTAATTTAAATTTAAAAAGAAAGAAAAAGAGGCTCAGCTTTGTTGGATCTTTGTAAAGCAGCTCTGCTGGCTTTATAACTGCTGCCATTCCCATCAGATACTGCATTCTGCCAGGAGACAAGGCCAGGCCATGACATTGCCTTAATCCTTACAAGGTCTGTGCTCAGAAGGAAAGTTAGGACTAAGAGCCCTGTGATCCTTCAGCTCACTAAGTCCTGTCACTTTTGCATCACTAGCCAATCAGAGCCTCCATCGGACCAGGCAGTGAGATGGGAGGGTTCTTCCGTTTTTCCCATATAGCTACTCCTCTGAGGAAGTGAGAAGTTTGACCGTGTGCTATTCTGTGAGCACCATGTGTGGGCAGAGCATGGGTGAACTCTGCAGTCACGCCAGGGTGAGCGAGGGTCCACTGTCCCCACACTGGGTGGAGCAGCTGGCTGAGCCACAGAGTCACGTGGTGGGTCCTTCCTTGTCTGGGTGGGAGCTAGTGGCCAGACTCAGAATTCAGCTTGTTCCTGCTGGCCCTGTGTGGTTCTTGTGAGATCCTTGTATTTCTCTGGGCTGAGGCAGCAGCCGCCGAATAACTCGAGGCTGAGGCCTGCATCTGTGAATGGCATTGGGAGTGGTATGGTGCTTAGAAATGAGCTCTTGTTGATGTCACTGTGGAATGCGGGCTGTAGATCTTTTGCTTCAATGCTAGGATAAAGTTGGAAGGGGGTACTCGGGAGGACCATGGCAGCTTCCATGTCAGGCAAAGTTGACCAAGGCGGGCAATAACACGCTACGCAGACAGAGCTTGAGTGAGAAATTTTCTTAGAAAGGGGAACGAGGGGGAATGAAAGAAAAAAGAGGTAAAGAGACAAAGAAATGCAGAGGATAGAAGCAAAGAAGGAGACAGGAGCAGAAAGAGAGGAAGCAGAGAGAGAGCCAAAAAGAGTGCGGAAAGAGTAAAATCAACAGTAAGAGTGGTAAGAGTAAGAGGTCAGGGACTTATTGTTCAAAGGGATCCTTTACACCTGCCTGCAGACTGTAGTCATGGAACCCTGGACCAGAGTGCTGCCTATGTGCATTCTGCCAGATGACTTGGGAGGCCAACATAATCCTTACACTGGTGCCTGTAGTGCTTGAGTCAATCTTTATGGAAGGCAGGTTTCCCAAATTCAGAGAACTCTTGTCTCTCTTCTATCTTCCAAAAGTTCTGTATTTGTAAAGGTTAACAACTAAGTTTCAGATCCCTCTGGAGTTAATTTTGTGGAGCTTGTGAATTATATCTCTGGTATAGAGTAGCACTCCTCTGTAAACTGAGATGTAGACAGTAGAATTGATGGTAACACAAATGATGATCCTTACATAAAGTCAAATTTAGGTAAGGGAGGACTGCCACCCAAATACCCCAAAGATAAGCAGTATGATAAAATGTAAATGTTTGTTTACCAGCCATAATCAGTCATTAAGCTTCATTCCCAGAACAGAGTAGAAAATGATGATTAACAACAGATCAAAACCACTCCTCCCCCACATACAAGAATATGCCCTTAACATGCAGATCAAGGGAACCATTACAGGGAAAAAAGCTTTTACACCCGATAAGCCTCCCTGCTGATGCAAAAATCCAAATCAGACTAAATCAAGCCAAATAAGAAAAAGCCCACATTTAATGGATAAAATGCTCCCAGGAAGCCTTCCAGTCCCCCACCCCCAGGGAGGAAACAGGATAGGGGGATCAGAAAAACCTTGGATCTGTTACCTCGGGGACAGTTTAAATTCCCTGTGGGAGTGGTCATGAGTAACTGTTGGGATGTGGCCATTATTTGGCTGGCTTTCTGAGATGCAGCAGTGTTTATAGATAGATGGGAGAGGGGGACTTGGTAGAACCTCCACCTTAACATTCTAGACTGTTGGTGTATATGGATGCCTGGGCCTGGGGTGGAACTTCCACCTTAACAACCCAGAAGAGGTGGGCAGAGAAGCATTCAGTTAGTGTTCCTCCTGTAGTTCACAGGCTCCTGATTCTTGAGGAGGCAGAGAATGCAGGTTGCTAGGAGAGAAAACAGATTCTTATCATTGGCCCTATGAATGGGGCTAGCCATGGGAATGGTGATAATTGTCTGAATGAAGGGAGTGGAGAAGTGTCCTGGTAATACAGAAGAGGAAGGTTGAATGAGTGGGACAGGAGAGCAGATGTGTCCTTCATTGGGACATCTTGGAAAAACAGAGGGTAGAGGGTCCCAGTTGCTGTACAGATGAAGTGCGCAGGTACTGCCATTATCTGGAGGACTCTCTGTGGGTTGACTTTGGCTCAGGCAGGAAGAGTAAACCTGTAAGATACACTAAACATGGGTAGGGTAAAAATGGGTTCTGGCAGCTGTTTTATCAGATGTCTTGATAAGAAGAACTTCTCCCAGGAACTCAGGTATCTGTAAGACACTTGGAACAGATTTACATCTTAGTGTTATAGTAAAAAGGCTGTGGCTTTAAGTTGAAGTCTTTCTATAGTTTTAGAAGGCAATCAGGTAATTTAAAACTCTGAACCACTGAAGTTACATCTGAAACCTGTTAATTCCTGACTATGAAGCCTGTAAAAGAGGCACACCTCTCTGTCCTTTTAGCAGGAAACTTAATGCACTAATGAGCCATCTGTAGCCTGGTCATCAAACCCGATCAGATAGATCTAAGGGGATAAGTAGATGAGAAGAGCCTTTTCAACTATTGCACTCCCAGGTTTTACTGAAATGGGAAGGAGCGGTTCCATCCATTCCAATAGCAGGAATTGGAGAGACAACTGTGGGACTGGAGTGAGAGATCAAAATAGAGTAAGTGGCTCCCATGTCCATGAGAAAAGTACTAGATATACCTGCTACCTGGAAAGTTGACCTAGGTTCAGAGAGGGCAATGGGAGCCACTTAGTTTGGGTCACAACAGTCCTCCTCCAAGCTGAATATTTCAAAGACTGGGAGTCTCAGCTGCCAGTGATGGTAAGGAGGACATCTGTGAAATGGCATAGACAATGAGCCCATTCTGGGGCATTCTGATTTCCGTTGTCCAGGCTGATGGCTTATGGGTCATGGCCTTGTCAGGAAGCCAAGGGTCCAGACTCTATCTGGCCAAATGACTTTCCTGCCTGCATTGTAGTGCCTCCTGAAGATTTGACTTGGGTTGAGCTCCAGCAGGATTGAGCCTCATGGTGGTCAACTTCCCTTATACCCCTTGGGGTATCAGGATACCTGCTAAAGCTTGGGCTTGAAGCATGGCCTTGTCTCTTGGGAGGACTCGGCTGCCTCTTCTCAGGCACTGAAAACTTTAAAAGCCATTTTTCACCATTTCCTGCATGGGAGTTTGGGGACGTCTCCTCAGCCTTTTTAATTTTTATTTGTAATATCTGACTCTGAGTGAGAACAGAAATGTGTGGCTTCCCTGGGGATACTAGATCATGTGTAGACCAGTACACAGAGGGGGACAAAGGGGTGCCATAGAAGGATAGGGAGGGGCGATAGAGGGAATGGGAGAGAAGAGGTGGATGAGACTGAAGGGCTTACTGACCATTGTCCTGGAGGGGAGGGAAGGGGAAGAGGTGGAAAGGGGGAGGAATAAGGAATGTGGACCACTGAATGGAAAGTGTGGTCCCTTAGGATAGCGTTGGGCAGGCAGGGTTGGGTGGGGATGGGGAAGGGGCCAGTGACTGGGGCAGCAAGGTCAGGGCAGAATTATCAGGGTCCCAGTTCCCAGATAGGCAGGAATCTGGAGGTGACATGACCCTAGCCAACACCATCAGAGTAGTGAGAAAATATCTACTGAGAGATGGGCAGGAGCACAGTATCCAGAAACTGTGGACATATGGTGTTCTGCTCCCTGGTCCCCCACCAGTGAAGAATTTCAAGATCATGGAGGATGGAGTATTCAAAAGTTTCCCCAAGTGGCAATTGTATCCCTTTGTTAAGGACATTTTGTGATCAGGCCTTAGTACACAAAGAAATCAGGCATCCAGGATATATGGTGTCAGGTACCCCAATTTAAAAAGGATTTTGTAAAAGGCAGCCAAAGGCATTTGGGGATCTGGCTTCTAATGGCAGGTGCTCATTTCACAAGTCTATGCTAGAACCCAGAGCCTAATGCTATGTGTCCACTGTGGTAGGCCCTGGGTCAAAAATCAGAGCTTCCATCTGTCCCACCAGTGAGATGGTATGGTTCTTCTGGTTTCCACAATCCACTACTCTTCTGAGGAAGTGAGAAGTTTGATTGTGTGATATACTGTGTAGTTAAGCAACATTGGAATATTCAGAAGCTGCAGTTACACAATAGCTGGACACTGGCGGTGACATGTTTCCCTGGTGGTTATCGAATATTTTCCTATGCTGGTGTCTAGGAATCTGGGTTTTGGGTGATTGAGTCTAGGTACTGCTTTCTGATGGCTTTTTTGGATGGGAGTTCCTGGGTTTCAGTTTGGGCTTTGGAATTTCAGACCATTTATTATGTAGGTATTGCCATTTTTTACTAGCCTTCTTGGATGGTGTGTTCAAAGGAGAATGCTTGCTGGTGTTGGAAGCTAGGTCAGGCTGAGATTATCTCAGGAATCCACAAGAGGCATGAACAGTGGGTAGGTGTAAGGGGTAGTTGCCTCTGGTGTTCTATTCCAGTGCTTGGGGCAACTGTGACAGAGGTGAACCTCCTATTCATTTTCGTTCTTAAGTGATTTTTGTGGTGATTACTATCACAATGTACATGTCATGGATTAAGTTTGGGAAGCACCAGAATTAGTTTACTCTATGGAGAAGTGTGCATTTCCAATGTATTCAGTTTCACACTTTTTGTTCCCACATGCATGGGATACTTTAGAATACAGTGAACGATGATGATGTGCATGTGAGCTTCACTCAGGAAGAGTGGGCTTTGCTGGATCTTTCGCAGAAGAATCTCTACAATAATGTGATGCTGGAGACCATCAGGAACCTGAATGATATAGGTAAGATGGTGAAATTTACTGAATATTTTAAAATGAGGGGACAATTGTTTCTTGGCTATTGATAATCTTCTATACTTTTATTGAACAAGAGGAAGCATGTGGTGAATAAATTATGCATGATGCTAATGTTCACTGAAGATGTCACTTTAAGTTGTGCACAATTTCCAATAATTTATCACACAGTTTCTGGTACTATATTTTAGGCTACAATTTGAAAGATTGTATTGAAGAACTATGTCCAAGTTCTAGAAGACATGACAGGTAATTTACATATGCAAGCTGATATAAATGTACCTCTGAAACTAGGCGTTGGTGGCACATGCCTTTAATCCCAGCACTCGGGAGGCAGAGGCAGGTGGATCTCTGTGAGTTCGAGACAAGCCTGGTCTACCAAGGAAGTTGAAGGACAGGCTCCAAAACAATACAGAGAAACCCTGCCTCAAAAACCAAAAATATACCCCTGAAGAAATTTTAATGTTTCCTGTATGTTATAAAGGAAAGCAACAATTTAAGTAAGCACAGCTTAAAGTGTATTGATGATTATTAAATCTCAAAAAGCCATATATTTAAATTTCATGTAGAAAAGTTGTGTTGGAAAGGCATTAGGAAATAAGCCAAGTCAACAATATCTTAACAGATATGACCATTTGAATCCCAGCTGAGTGAGAACTATGTGTAGACCTGCCAATCTGTTTAGTTCCATACCATTCATATTACAAAATGTATATGTGTCTAGTAGGTGATAATTATATGTCCTAATCTTATGAGAAGCAAAATTGTCCATAATAAAGTCCGTGTGTCTTATATACTTGTTATATCTTTGTTAAATTTATTGTGATGGGCAAAAAGAGTCAAAGGTCAGTTGTGGAGAAACCTTAATCCCTGTACCACATGTCTGTGAGCAACAGGAGATCAAATTATGTAAATGCAATATGAAAGTCTTTTATTTGTTTCCTCCAATAATCTAAATCTCATATGTGTTTCAGTATAGGAACCATCTGAGCATAGGTACATTGAAAGAATTAACACTGTCTCTCAGAACAATTAGAAGATATATAGGAGTCTCTACTTTAACTAGGCTAGTTGAATGTGGTTCAGGATTATAAGTGTTTGGTTCTCCAGCCTCACTGAAGAAAATCCCAATGAGCACTAGGGACTTGTAAAATCTTTTGTTTGTTATGGTTCAGTTGGCAAATATAGTATGACTCCACTATAGGAATATTTATGAATTTAACATTTGTGGTAATGCCCTGAATTTTTTCAGTTCTCTTCAAATATGTGAGAAATCTCATATAGAAGAAAGATGCTATAAATGTGTATCATGTAATAAAATCTCTTACTATCACAGTTATCTTCAAAGATGCAAAACCATCCTTATTGAAGGGGACAAGCATGAGTATAAAAAAAGAGATAAAGTCTTAAGATCTGATTCCTCTTTATAAATAGACCAGATTGTAACATTAATTTATATACATATAAATTTTTACCAGTGTATTGAATGTGGTAAAGCTTTTATATGTGCCAAGAAACCTTTGGGATGTACTCAATGTGTTAAACCCTTACATATTACAGCCACCTTGAAAGGCATGAAAGAATTCATATTGGAGAGACACCCTCTGAAACTATCCAATATGATGAAGCCATTGCTTGTCACAGTAGATTCCAAATTCATATAAGAACACATACTGAAGAGAAACCATATGACTGCAATCAATGTGGTAAAGCTTAGAAGTCAAAGCAATCTTCAAAGGCATAAAGGAACACATACAGGAAAGAACCCTGACGGATGTAATCAGTGTGGAAAAGCCTTCTCACAAAATTCTCATCTTCAAGTGAATATAAGAACACATACTGGAGTGAAACCCTATGAATGTAATCAGTGTGGTAAAGCCTTTTTACAAAATGCTCATCTTCAAGTGCATATAAGAACACATTCTGGAGTGAAACCTTATGAATGTATTCAGTGTGGTAAAGCCTTTGCAAGTCACAGTAATCTTCTAATGAAAGACCCTGGCCCAGTCTAAACAGGCAGCTGAGGCTTATGGAAAATTCCGTTCCCCCACAGCTGCATAGTCATTGCCTATGAGAAGGGAGCTCAGCCCAAGGACACAGGCTGCCGGGTATCTGCGGGCAGCCGGATGGCCAGCTCAGCAAGGTTAAACAAACACAGAGATATCTGCGGGCGACCAGATGGCCAGCTCAGCAGGGTTGAGCAAGCACAGAGACCAATTGTTCCTCAGATAGGGCCAAGGCCAAGACTTGAGTTCCAAGAAAAACCTCAATTGCCCGCGCTCTGAGCCCTAGCCTCATTTAAATTGCCCAATCAGGGTCCTGTTACTAGGCTTCTCACTTCTGTACCGCGCTTTTTGCTATAAAAGAACCCCTGAGTCCCCAGCTCGGGGCTCTCAGTTCCCGAGACTGAGACGCCCGGGTACCCGTGTGTTATCAATAAAGCCTCTTGCTGTTGCATCCAAGCTCGTGGTCTCGTTGTTCCTTGGGTTCGGGTCTCCCTTCCGTGAAAGTATCCCTTTTGGGGTCTTTCATTTGGTGCGTTGGCTGGGAACTTTGAGACCCCCGCCCAGGGACCACCGACCCACTTCTGGGAGGTAAGAATTGTCCGGACTCAATTTCTGTTGTCTGCTGTCTGTCTTTGCCTGTTATTTTCTCGCGCCTGTGTCTGTAGTATACAGCTGTATGCATCTGTATCTGGCGGCACCGAGGAGGAACTGACGAGTTCATACTCCCGACCACAGCTCCAGGAGACGTCCTGGTAGCGTCTGGAGTCCTCAAGGACTCATCTGGGTTAGGGGTAGATATCTAGGAAGTCCCGCTGACCGAGGGATTTTCCATCCTTGTAGGGGATGAGGACGGGAGGCCATCTGAGTTTTTGCTTTTGACTTTACGTCAAAGCCGCGCAGCGAAATCTGTTTGTTTTTGTTTCTTATTTGTTCGTCCGTCTTAGTGTCGTTAGTCATCGCTCTCGAGGAGATGGGCCAGACAGTTACCACTCCGCTCAGTCTGACCCTTTCACATTGGCAACAGGTTCAGGAGTACGCTCATAACCAGTCTGTCGATGTGCGCAAGAAGGAATGGATCACCTTTTGCTCTTCCGAATGGCCAACTTTTAATGTTGGCTGGCCACGAGATGGCACCTTTAACCCTCAAATTATCTTCCAGGTGAAAGAGAAAGTCATGGATCCTGGGCCCCACGGCCATCCGGACCAAGTACCCTACATAGTCACCTGGGAAGCGTTAGTTTATAACCCTCCTACCTGGGTGCGCCCCTTTGTGCACCCAGGAGGTCCCTCCTCCTCCTCTTCCCTAACCCCCGCCAATTCCAACCCATCCGCACCCCCTTCCGCCCCCTTTGACCCCCTCCCCGCATCCTCAGTCCTCCCATTCTGGCATTTACCCCACCGTAACTAAGCAGAAAGAGAAAAGAGGAGACCCCAAGGTCCTCCCTCCGGAAGACGGTCTCCTGTTGGATCTTCTGACGGAGGAACCCCCACCGTACCAGGCTCCTCCGGCAGGTCAACCGGCAGCGGCAGCAGCCGAGGCCCAACCTTTGCCTCCTACCGACCCGGAGCCCTCACCTATGGCTTCTAGACTGCGAGGCCACAGGGAGCAGCCCGCTCCGGATTCCACCGCCCTGCCCCTCCGGACGGGCCATGATGGCCAATTACAATACTGGCCGTTTTCTGCCTCTGATCTTTATAACTGGAAAAATAATAACCCCTCCTTTTCAGCAGACCCCGTGAGACTGACTGATCTATTAGAGTCGGTTCTCACTACCCATCAGCCCACCTGGGACGATTGCCAACAGCTTTTGCAGGTCCTCCTAACTTCGGAGGAAAAACAGCGGGTCCTTCTTGAAGCCCGGAAGAATGTTCCTGGGGCAAATGGACAACCTACGCAGCTTCCAAATGAAATTGATGCTGCTTTCCTCCTTGACCGCCCAGACTGGGACTTCACCACTGAGGCAGGTAGGACCCATCTACGTCTTTATCGTCAGTTGCTTGTAGCGGGTCTCCGAGGGGCAGGTAGGCGCCCTACAAATTTGGCCCAGGTAAGACAGATAGTTCAGAAGGCAGAGGAATCGCCAGCCGCATTTTTAGAAAGACTTAAGGAAGCTTACAGAATGTATACCCCATATGACCCTGAGGACCCCGGGCAAGCTACTAGCCTGACCATGTCCTTCATCTGGCAGTCGGCCGCCGACATCAGAAACAAATTACAGCGGCTAGAAAATGTACAGGGTTTTACTCTACCAGATGTATTAAGAGAGGCGGAGCGCATCTTTAACAAGGGAGAAACCGAGGAAGAGAGGGAAGAGAGATGGAGAAAAGAGGATCAAGAAAGGGCAGAACGTCAGAGACAGGAAATTGAAGAGAGGGAGATAGCGAGGGACAAGAAGCGTAATAGAGAAATGACTAAACTGTTGGCCACAGTAGTCGCAGAGCAGAGACAGGATAGGCAGAGAGAGGGACAAAGGGGGCCTTGCCTAGAAAGAGACCAATGTGCATACTGCAAGGGAAAAGGACATTGGGCAAGGGAGTGCCCCAAGAAACAAAGAAGGACATTTCAAAGACCCAAACCCTGTTCTCAGACCTCCGACCTCCTGAGCCTAGAAGATTAGGGAGGTCAGGGCCAGGAGCCCCCCTGAGCCCCGGATAACCATACCAGTAGGGGGGCGCCGGTCACCTTCCTGGTCGACACGGGGGCACAACACTCTGTTCTAAATCGGTCACCCTGCCCCCTGAGCCGCCGAACTGCCTGGGTACAAGGGGCTACCGGCGGGAAACAATATCGATGGACCACGGACCGCCAGCTCCACCTAGCGACCGGTAAGGTGATGCACTCCTTTTACATGTTCCTGACTGTCCATACCCCCTCCTGGGTCGAGACCTCCTAACGAAGTTAAAGGCTCA